CCGGGTTCTCAGAAGCGGCAGCCCTATGGTTGTTTGGGGCAGCCTCCCTCCCTCCCCTCCCCACTCTGGCCCAGCCTTACTCAGCTCTGGGACTCCCACACAGCTCCTGCCACGTGACCTGCCTCTGTCACTGGGTGCGATCCAGTGGTAAGCAAGGCTCCGTGGCTGCTTTCCTGGAAATCATGCCGGCTAGGAGAAGGGCCTCCTGTGTTGCGGGGCCCAGGACAGCCCCAGGTCTGAAGGGACAGGACCTAAACTTGGGCATCTTGCATCACCACCAAAAACCGTTGTGAAAGGCCAGGCCCTTTTAGGAGAGAGGCCAGACCACCAGGGCTAGCTTGGAGATTCCCTGATGCCCTGGAGGGGTGGCTCTTCCAGGAAGCCCTCCTGCACTACACTTCTTGGAAGGCTGCTGGGATTGGGGTCCTGCTGCCACGTGTGCCCTGCTTCCTCCCAAGTGGCCCCATCTCCAGCAGGGAAGTAGGCTCGTTTCATTGAGCACCTGTGGAAGCCATTTCCCCTCAGGCCTCAGTTTCCCCATCTGCCAAACACAAAAAGGAGTACGTGGCCTGGCTTCCTCCTGGAAGGATGGGGAGGGGCTGTTAGCAAGCAGTTTCATATGGGGGTGGGGGTGGGGGCCCTGCCTATTGGTGTAGTCCTGGTCTGGTGAGAGCCCTTGAAGGAGGGGATGCCCTGTGAGGGTGATTCCTGGTTAGCTGTCTTGGCCATCCCGTGGGCCCTGGGGAGGTCAGCAGACTCTGGCCGAGGTCTGGTGTAGCTGCAAATGACCTTGAGCAAGTAACTTCCCCTCTCCGGCAAGGCCGGGTGGCAGCAGGGACCCTGGCCTCAAGGCCTCAACCTTTGTGTCCGCATACCCCTCCGAGGCTCAGTTTCCTCATCTGTCAACAGGGAATACAGAGGCTCTGTCCAGTGCAGTCAGTGAGTGGGGTGTCCTTGGGAAACAGGAGGCCCCAGGAAGGGTCCTGGGTCAGGCAATGCCCTGAGAAGTAGAGGGAGAAGCAGGATGGGAGAAGCAGGCTGGGGCAGTGGGAAGTGCAAGTCATCTCGCAGAGGGAAGTGGGCCGGGCCCAGGGTGGGGGCGCTGGGTGACATCCTGGACTGCCTTGGTCTCCCAGGCCTGAGGAGCCCACCCCACAGTCAGCACCTCTCTTGTGACCAAGGCCACTGGCTGAGCCGTCTGGCCAGGTCCTCCTGGTGTAGCCAGGCCCAGCAACCGCAGCCCCTTCATTCTGTGTGATCCCGCACTGGTGTGGCCTGTGAGCCCGCTGGCCCCTGCACCCCAATGCGCTCCCTCTGCCTTCCATTTCCCCCTCTTCCAGGGAGCTTCTCTCCAATGAGGCTCTCAGGCAGCCTGAGATGGAATAGAGGGAGGAACATTAGTCACACGCCGCCCTGTATTATTTTCTGGCCCTACCCACTGGGCTGCCAGGACTGGGTGGGCTCCTCCTGCTGCCCCACAGAGTGAGGGTGAAGACTCAGTTAATTGACTGAACAAGGTCATGAAAGAGATTGGGAAATCTCTTTTTTTTTTTAAAGGTGAAAAAGGAGTGGAGGGCAGTAAAACCTCTCATTTCTGCATCTAAGCTCTCTGGCCTGGCAGTCCTTCCTTATGTCTGACTTGAGTACATCAAGCTGCATTTCAGATGTTGATCAACATTAGGGGAGAAGCAGTATAACACAGTGCTTAGTGAAGGGGATCCCAGCAACACAACTGACTGGCACATGACTGCACCATCTGTGCCTCAGTTTCCTCATCTGTGAAAAGAGGATAATTAAGGAGTACCTATTTCATAAGATTGTCTGATGAAATCAGTTAATGCATGCAGAGCACTTAGAACAGAGCCTGGCACCTGTGGAGGTCAATAAAAGTCAGCTGTCTACCCCAAAGAACTGAAAGCAGGGTCTGGAAGAGATATTTGTACTTCCATGTTCATAGCAGCATTATTCACAGTAGCCAAAAGGTGGCAGCAACCCAAGTGCCCATCAACAGATAAATGGATAAACAATCAAATATTACTCAATCTTAAAAAGGAAGGAAAGTCTGACACAGGCTACAATATAGATGAACCTTGGCAACATTATGCTGAGTGAAATAATCCAATCACAAAAGACAAATACTGTTATGATTCCACTTATATGACCCACTTAGAGTGGTCAATTTTATGGAGACAGAAAGTAGAATGGTGGGTGCAGGGGCTGGGGGGAGGGGAGAAAGGGGAGTTAGTGTTTAATGGAGACAGAGTTTCAGTTTTGTAAGGTGAAAAAAGTTCTGGAGATGATGGTGGTGATGGTTGCACAACAATGTGAATGTACTTAATGCTACTGAACTGTATACTTAAAATGGTCAAAATGGTAAATTTTATGTTATGTATATTTTACCACAATTTAAAAAAAAGTCAGCTGTCATCATTTCCGAGCAGAGGGAAAGGAGGCAGAATCCCATGTGTCCTGGGCCCCCGAGGCCCTGGGTTGTGTGCAAGTAGCTGACCACGGGTCCTGGCCAGGTGCTGGCACTTCTGACTTCTGGGCTGGCCTGGGGGTCTATTGCCAGTCTGCTCCTGCCTGCCGCCCTCCCTGCCAGGTGGGGCCAGCCTGCTGCCCCCAGCCCGGCCCCTGGGAGGTGGGGAATGTGACAGCAGCTGGCCAGGAACACTCCCAACCAGCATCTGATGCTCATTTCCTGCTGAGGGTGGAATTCTTGGCTGGCCTCTGGCTCCCTCTGGGAGTAGTATCAGGCTCTTGGGGACGATTTCCTCATCTGTCAAGAGGGAGTAAGAACAGCTCCTGCCCTGTCGGCCCCACTGGCTGTCATCACTTGGCCCTCTCTGCAGCCCCGTTTTCAGAGGACTTCCCTTGTGTTGGGGGCTTCAGGTACATGATTCTTGACTTCATGCCTGAACTCAGGGAAAGGGGAAGCAGCCGGTGCAGCCACACAACGGGAGGGCAGCTCTTCCCAACCCCAGGCTGCTGCCCAGGGCGAGGCTGTGCAGAGGACGCTCAGGCCAGTGGGTAGCTGGGGACGAGGCTGGCCGCTCAGCACATGCCCTGTGAAGCGTCATTCCCGGCCCTGCTGATCAGGGTCCGGGGCTCTGAGGAGATGGTGGGGTCTGCGGGCCTAACAACCTCGCCCTCCCCCGCATGCCCTGGAGAGCCGCGGATTCTGCAGTGATTTCCCAATCTGTTTGAGGTTAGGAGAGGAGGCCTGGCAGGCAAGTGGGGAGATTGCACAATGAGGCCATAGCAGGCAGCCAGGGAGGCAGGGAGCTAGGACCCTTTGGTTCCTGCCCTCGTCGCCCTTGTCTGTCTGAGTGAACTTGGGGGGCCTGGCCTTTAGTCTCCCCATCTGTGCATGGAGTGAACCTCCCAGCCCAGGGGCGCTGTGGCTCTATTGGCTCTTCTGAAAATGTCACTCCTGGGGCCTCAGGAAGAGAACGGGTAGAGTCCATCTTACTGCCATCTCCCGAATCCCCCTCCCCCTCCCCGCAAGCCCCCAGGGACAGGATCTGAGTCCCAGCCCAAACCTGGCACTTGGCCACCACTCCCACAGAGGAAGAGGAAGTTCTCAGTCCTAAGGGGCACCCCCAGCTTCCCCCTATCCTGCCCACTCGGCCATCCCTCCCAGGCCTCAGAGATCTGTGCCCAGGCCCATGGGGGTGGAGGGACCAGCGGGAAGGGGGAGACCGCTGGACGAGTTTGTGTGCAAACAAAAGAGAGGGAGGAGCAGGGCTCTAGCAGGGAGCAAAAGGGAAGCTGGTGCCCAGCCGGGAAATTCCTGAGTGACATGGTCCTTTCCAGGGGCCAGAAATTCCTAGGATGTGAAATAGCGAAGGGGGTAAGTCGCTGATGGGTCCTCTTCACCAGCACCTCCTCCCTGCCCCATGACAGACCCACAGAGACAGAGCATAGATGGAGAAACTGAGGCCCAGACAGGTGTGTGACCTGCTCAAGGCCACACTGAGTAAAGACAAAGTTGGGCCAAGTGATCGTCAAGCCTGAGCCACTGGGGTCCCAGCCTTGTGCCTCCAGGAGCCTGTCCTGGCCCAGCCCTGGTCCCAGAAGGGAAAGTGCTTCAGTGGAAATCCTACAGGCCCGGATGTGGATTCCAACTCTGCCATTTTCTGCCTGTGTGACCTGAGGCGAGTCACTTCGCCTTTCTGAGCCATTTTCCCGTTTCAAGCAAGTCTGGATAATAAGAGTGTATGCAAGGCACCCAGCACAGGTGCTTTGTCAATAGCTGATCATCCTTGCAGCCCCCTTTCCTTTAGGGCGCCTCCTCCAGGAAGGCCCCCTCCCCATGCTTCTGTGCGGCCACAGTGATATTCAGAGTGGGAACTCTCTCCCAAAAAGGGCGATCCTTGTCGAGAATGAGGGAGTTAGGGTGGGACCGTCCCCAGCACCCCGCGGGAGGTGGGGGAGGGGAGTGCCCGGAGCTGGGATGGGTGCTGGCTCTGTGACGCGGGAAAGTGGTCCTGATCGCGGGGCCTTCCAGCTGGCCAATAAGAAGCCGTCGTCGTCGGACAATGGGTCAGCGCCAGACTGATCCCGGTTGGCCCCGGATGCTGTTCCCCTCACCCCACACACCCGGACGACGCTCCGCTAGCCCAGCTACCCCGCCCTGGCTGGTGGGCGGTAGTGACCTCCCCTCCCCTGCTGGGCAGGCCCAGCACCGCCGCGGGGGGGGCGCGCGACACCCGACACAGGGACACAGGCAGCCCCCGCCACACTCTGCCTTGGCTTCGGCCGCGGGTTTTCCGCGGCTGTGGTGGGCGGGGCGGGCCGGGCGGGGCGGAGTCCGAACTATTTCAGGCAGCGCCGGGCTCTGCCGCGACAGCAGCAGCTGGGCCCGGACACAGTAAGTGACCTCCGCCCGCTCTGCATCCGTCCCCCACCAGTTCGCGCGGCCGTCCACCCGCCGCGACCCTGAGTCCCCGGCCAGATCGCCCGACGGAGCGGCCGGCGCGGCGGAGGGGACCAAAGGGGCGGGACGTTCTGAGGGCCTCAGGCCTCCGGCAGCCCCCCTTCTAGGGAAACCGAGGCCCCTGCGGTGAGCTGCTGCGCGTCGGGGCGCAGAGGACCCGGGTTTGGCGCTCCCATCCCAGGACTCTGTCCTGAGAAAGGCAGGGAGGGAGGGGCTGTGGGGAAAGGCGCAGCGGTCTCCCTTCCTTTTGCAGTAGGAAGTTGGGGGGCTGACTGTGTGACGTAGTCCAAGTCACTTGGCCTGCCTGTGCCAGGGTGTCCTCACCTGGGGGATGGGTATCTATCCGCCCAGGACAGAAGGAGCCAGGGGCAGAGGCTGTGGGAGGCTATGTGGACCTCAGCCCTGACCCGGAAGGAGGGTCAGGGTGTGTGTGTGCCTGGGGAGAAGCTGGGAGAGCTGGGAGGACTGGAGGGGGTGCCGCTGTGGGACCACAGGCGCTGACTCTGAGTAGGCCTCTTCCTGTCTCAGTGTGCCCAGCCAAGAGCCCCGGCTTAAAGGGATGCCTCTCCCGCCCTTCTCTGCTGTGCCCAGGCACTGAGGTGGGCATGACAGACACAGGGATGCAGGACTTGCACCCTGACTGAGGCTGGGATGGGTGCTTGCCCTTGGCTGTGTGATTTTGCACATCCTCTCAGCAGCACTGTGAGGTGGGGGTCCTTGTCCCGGTTTCATAGATGGAGAATCTGAGGCCTGTGAAGGAAGGGGTGTCCAGTCCACACACTAGTGAGTGGTCCAGCTGAGCCCACAGCTGTTTCGTTTCTGTTTCCACTGCACCAGCTGCCTCTGAGAGTCAAGGCCTGGGACAGGACCAAGGGGCTGCTGCAGGACCTCGAAGGGTAGGGAGGCACAGAGGCAAGTGTGCCACAGAGGCAAAGAGGCACCAATGCCATGTGGGGACCTGCAGGAGCTGGGTGTGGAGGTCAGATAGAGCCTAGCATGCGTGGGGGCCCAGGAGGTAGGGGGCAGTGAGGGTAGAGAGGAGGCTGGTGGGCAGCACTGCTGATCAGGGTGGCCCTTTCCCTCACCCCAGCAAGAGGACAGGGGTGGGGCCTGGGTGCCCAGGGTGGGGCTGAGCAGCCCCAGCCAGCTGGCTAGACCAGCTTCTGTGGGTGTGTGACATGAAAATGGGATGGATTGGGAGGCGAAGCTGCGGCAGTGGGTGGGCAGGGCAGAAGTGCCCAGATCTTGGCTTTGGGGCTCCCCAGAGCACCCCCTGCTTGGTCTTGCAATGGAACTCCCAACCCAAATGGCACAGGGGAGGCAACTGAGGCCCAGCCGTCTAGGACTCTGCCCAGGGCACCTGGTGAAGCCAGTGGGAGTGAGGAGCAACCCAGGTTTCCTGGCCCCCAAGTGGCTCTGGCCAAGCTTAGGATGAGCCCCTGGAGGAATAGGACAAGGTAGCTTGGCTGGTGGGGAGGTAGCAGGGGCTATGGAAGGAGTCCGACAGGCCGATTCTGAGCCTCCACACCTGCCGTGTGCTTGGGGCAAGCACCTCTCCCCCTCCCACCCCCGCACCCCCACCTCCACCTCAATTTCTCCTCTGGCTGATGGATCATCCCATCTGCCTTGCAGGACTGTGGCAGGGGGGAATCGAAGTCATCATGTTGCATGAGTCACGAGTTGATGTATTTACTCTCGTGTGGAGTATGGCCAGAGCCCTGGTGGTCATATGCGGGAAAACAGATCAAGCACACTCAGCACTGTCGCCATGGCCAGCTGTGTCCTTGGGCCTGGGAGCTGGGAGCCGGGGCCTGTCACCGTGACTTCTGACCCTTTCATTCCTCCCTCCCTTCCAACCTGCAGGCCTGAGCCAGGGGGATACTGAAGATGATGACCTTCTGCCAAGGCCTTCCAGGCCAGCAGCCTGTGCCAGGGACCCTTGACTTCCCCAGAAACCCCCAGAAGTTGCCCTCCACGTCAGAGGCAGAGTCAGAGGCCTCCATGTCAGAGGCCTCCTCTGAGGACCCGGTGCCATCCCTGGAGGCTGAGGTAGCCCCCGATAGGGACAAGGAAGAGGCTGGGAAGAAGAAGAAGAAGAAGACAAAAGGACTAGCCAACATGTTCAGCGTCTTCACCAAAGGGAGGAAGAAGAAGCCTCAGCCCAGCTCAGCAGAGCCGCAGGCTGCGCTCCACCCCGAGCCGGAGTCGGGGCCCAGGCTGGGTGGCAGGCTGCCCACAGGTAAGCTGGGGCCCTAGGTGGGGTTGGGGTCCTGGGTCAGAGCTGGCCAGGGCCTGGGCAAGGCCGGGGCTCATCGGAGTGGATGGCCCACTCACCCAGGACACCTAGAGGGCAGGAAAGATGGGCTTTCACCTGCCCCCTCTGATCTTGGGGGCTTGGGAGTAGGCCTACCCGAGCTTCAGTCTTGTCTGCTCTCCCGTGGGCGCCGTGGGAGGTGACTTGTCCCCGCCCCCCTGCCGTGGGTCCCGGGGCCGGCCCTAAAGCGGGTTCTGGTTCTGGCCGCAGTGGAGGAGCTCAAGGCGGACCTGGAGTGCGGGCGGCTGGAGGCGGCGCGGCCGCTGCTAGCGCTGGAGCGGGAGCTGCAGGCGGCGGCGGCGGCGGCGGCGGCG